CCCCAAAACCCCAAAACCCCAAAACCCCAAAACCCCAAAACCCCAAAACCCCGCACATTCTAGCATGTGTTGAAATATTATATTAGAATTCCTCTATACTTCCAAATTTGGAATTGCTACTGATTACCTAATAGCCAGTAAGTAGTAAGATTTCTGGCCGATAGATCAAGCGCTTAAGCGTGCATTGTATCCAATGAGCAGCAAGCAAAACCTAAGACACTGGATTTACTGAGTAAGTTATTTATTAATTAGATTATCCTAAGAGCGAGCGTGCTAAGTTTGGATGCCTCAAAGGATCTCAAGGCGTCTCAACTGTTAGCCTATTATGCTCATAGTATCCTAAATGTAGATTTCAGTCTACTACTCACTTGGATGTGCAAGGAGTTTAGGCAAAGTTCTTATCTCCTTTGGTACAGTTGGATCTCAGATCTTCATCAGAGCTTAACTCGTTCTTGATCAAATTCATAAATTCTTTGATCAGAACATTCTTCTTGTCTAACTCATAAACGCTCCTTAATGCTTTGTGTAGGACATAAAGTGCGAGTATAGAGGGAAGAGTGTTGAAGGCCTTTCTTTTCTCTAGAATGCATTTCTTTGCAATCTTTATCATGTTTTCTTCTAACAGTACACTGTCATCAGAAAGGAATTTGGGTGAATAGATCTCTAAATAAGCCTCCAAAAAGTGGAAGACGTTTGGAACCTGGAACCTGAACCTCAAGCAACTGGCAATTTTTCTCTCCCTATCTAATAATTGTTTAGAAGAGAGTTTTCCATGGGCAACTTTCGCAATCATTAGATCTAAAGTGAGAGGGTCTACTTCCTGGTATTTACTGGAAATGAACATGCAAACAATTCCGATCTCATGAAGGTCTTTTAATTTTAGGAACTCAGAAGTTTCTTCCAAATATCTGTCCATAATATGAGAGGCCAAGAAGAAGGTGTCTGCTGGTCACCTAAAAATGGTTAGGACCTCATCCATCCAGATGATCATTTGCTTTCTATGAGAGCTTTCTATTTCATGTTTCCCGAAATCACCATATAACTTGGTCTGTTTGTTAATCAGATTTTGCAGCAGTTTAGTTCCGTAAGTAGAGGCTACCTTCGAATGTACCGACTCTTGCTCGAGTCCCATGGGGGAATCGAAAGAATGGTCAGAATCAAACTCCATTTCGACATCCTGACTTCTATCCAAAGCTATAAATGGATGGTCTGCTGGTGAGATAATTTCTTTTTCTACTTTTCTGTCCAACCTCTCATTGGAAGAATACTTATCACTATCAGAAAAAGCTGTGCTTGTAGTCTCTAGAGCATCCATCCTTTTCGAGATCTTTTCCCCCTTTCTCCTCTGCTTTCCAGCATCTCCTCCAGAGATTGTGGATGCTGAGTTATTCATAATAGCTTTGGCTGCTGCCTGAATTGAACTTATCTTCTTAGTCATTGATTTCATTTTGATTTATTTCGATTATTTTGCGAACTTTCTATTTTATTTTTTATAAGGGGTTTTGGGGTTTTGGGGTTTTGGGGTTTTGGGGTTTTGGGG